GGGAGAGGCGAGGCAGGCGGTAACTGTGACTGCGGCTGGACAGGCGGAGGACACTCTACGGAGGGAGGAGGACAAGGAGGAGGAGCCTGCCCAAGAACCTGCTGAAGGAGCGGTACGAAGTACGGTCGCGGCCGCGCAGCGTCTCTAGAAGCAGAAGGGACTCCAGCGGCCGGGTCCACAGCACCAGCAGCAGCTCCACCGGCCGGGTCCCCAGCTCCAGCAGCAGCTCCACCGTCCGACTCCTCAGTACCAGCAGCAGCTCCACCAGGTGGGTCCGCAGCACCAGCAGCAGCGCCACCCCCAGAGTCGGGAGCTCCAACTCCGCTAGCACCGCCAACGCCAGAGTCCCCAGCTCCAGCAGCTCCAGTCGCAGCGCTCCCAGAACAGCCAGTCCCAGCAGCTCCAGTACCCCCAGTACGAGCACCCCCAGGACGAGCAACTCCAGCACCCCAAACTCCAGTCGAGCCACTAGGACGGCGAAAGCGTCGGACGTACCAGTCACGAAGCTGCTGCGGTGTGAGAGACTGCTCAGTACCCCGAACCGGAGCACCCCCAGACACAGTAACCCGAGGCGCCGTACCCGCAGGCTCAGCACCCCCAGTCGCAGCACCCCCAGGCTCAGCACCCCCAGGCGGCAAACTCTCAGGCACAGTACCCTCAGCCCCAGCACCCGCAGTCCCAGCACTCCCAGGCCTCGCACCCGCAGGCTCAGCACCCCCAGGCGCAGCACCCCCAGGCTCCGTACTCTCAGGCACCGTACCCTCAGCTCCAGCACCCTCAGTCCCAGCACCTGCAGCCCCAGCACCCCCAGGCCCAGCACCCCCAGGCTCAGCACCCCCAGGCTCAGCACTCCCAGCAGCACCACCCGCAGCAGCACCTGAGTCACCTGTGACCTCGACAGGCTCAGCGACGGGAGGAGGGTCTACCTGAGAGACACCTGAAGGAGCAGGACCCTGAGGGGGAAGGGGGTCTACCGGAGGGGGACCAGGAGCAAGGAAAAGCGGCGGGGGAGGGAGGGGGGCAGTGCGGTAGGGGAAGAGACGGTAAAAGGGGACCGACTCGTCAAAGGTGACATCCTGAGAGGCGAAGACCCGGCGCGAGGTGGGGTGGTAAAACTGCCAGCCAGGCGCGTCAGGGACAAAGCCAAGGAAGACACAGGGAAGCGTGCGGGAGGAGAGCTTGTCCGCAGACGTATCGCGGACAAGGGCACGAGCACCCCACACCCGGAAGCGCGACGCATCGCCAACCTCCCCCGTCCAACGCAGTGTGGGCGAGGTCTCCGGCAAGGAGACACGGGGCCAGAGGTTGAGCTGATGCGCGGCGTACCGGACAGCAAACGGCCACAGAAAATGGGGAGCCGCCGCGTGGACCAAGGAGGTACGAGCGACCTCCATGACCAGGCCAATGCGACGCTCAGCAACCCCATTCTGCTGTGGGGAGTCCGGAAGCGTGAAGGTCTGCTCGATGCCCTCCGCCTGACAGAAGGTCCTCAAGAGGTCGGAGGAAAACTCACCACCTCTGTCAGAGTGCAGACGCAGGACAGGAAGATCCGTCCGGAAACGGCGGCGGAGCTGGAGACGAACCGTGCGGATCCAAGGGATCAGAACAGCAGGGACCTCACCCTTGGTGCGCAAGGGGAAGACCGTGGTGTAACGCGAGTAGTCGTCGACAACCAGCAAAAAATACCGCTCACCGCCCTGACCACGAACGCGGGCTGGGCCCCACACGTCCAGGTGGAGGGTCTCCAGAGGAGCCTCTGTCGGGGGGAACGAGGAGGAGTGAGGAGCGGCGCGCTGCCGCCCCTCGACGCAAGGAAGGCAAGGCGGCGCAGGCGAGGCAGGGAGGGGAGGGAGGGACCTGGGAAGACCGGACACAAGGAGGCGACGGTGCATGCCACGAAGGCGTGGCAAGGAGGGGTGACCCAGGCGGTGGTGCCAGAGAAGAGTCTGGTGCGACAGGGAACGACACTCACAGGCGTGGGCCACCAGACCTGACGCAGACACCTGACCGACAGCAGCTACCTGGGGAGACGCAGTGGTCAGTGTGTAGAGACTCGACCCCGGCCGACGGGTGAACGTAGCCAGGTGACGGCCGGTCCTGGAGCACGTGCAGATCGCCACACGCTGTCCGCCAGGGGTAAAGGTGTCAACCCACTGATCCTGGAGGACAGCGTTGCTCACCAGGTTCGTCGAGAACGAGGGGAGGTGGAAACCCGACAACGAGCCAGACGGAACCGCCGGACAAGGGAGCACAGTGGTGGACTGGGCAAGGACTGGGCCCCCAGAGGGGTCAGCCAAGGAGACTGGGACCGGTGCAGGAAGCGGTGTGAGCTCAGTACTGTCACGAAAGAAGCAACGGGAAGCACCTGAGTCAAGGGTGAAGGTGTGACAGGCCTCAGCCGGTGCGGTACCTGAGAGAGGAGTCTGTGTGGGTGCTGTACCTGAGAGAGCAGACTCGAAACCAGCCGGGACAGCACTGGGGGGAGCAAGTACAGGGGGCACCATACCAGAGAGAGCAGACTCACTAGTACCCAGGGCAGCAGGCTCTATACCTGGGTCAGGCGGCACACACAGGTAACAGTCTCCCTCGGCACTAACAGTCAATGCATACATGGCAGCAATAATAGCATCATAGTCAAGAGCAAAGACATCAACACCAGCCCTCATGAGCTCAGCCCAGCGGGGGCGCTCAACATCCGCACCCATCTCCTCACGCCAAGCGTCGTCAAGGTGGGAGAAGCAGCGGTACGGGGTGTGGAACCTCCCACACGTCTGTCCCTTGCGGTCACCTGTGCGAATGACATAAGAACAGCGGGCACTGGCCCCCGACGTCCCACGCTGAGCAAGCCACTCACGAAGCTGCTGGGTCGTCTGGGGACGCTGCTGCTGCTGGGAGCTCTGGCCAGAGCCAGTGCCTCCACTCCGACCTCCGCCGCCACCACTACCACCGCTCCGACCGCCACCGCCACCACCGCCACCACCGCCACCGCCGCCACCGCCGCCGCCGCCACTACTGCCACTGCTCCCTCCGCCGCCCCCGTCTCCACCCCCGACCCCACTCCCACCAGCGCTCCCGCCACCGCTCCCTCCAGCACCGCCTCCCCCCCCACCTCCCCCACCTCCTCCCCCACCAGCGCCACCACCACCACTTTTGCCCCCCTTGCCCTTGCCGGTGCGGCGCCTCCCACCAGGAGTAGAAGCAGCGCCAACAGACTCAGCACCAAGGAAGTCAACAGCAGCAGCAGCAGCGTAGGAGGGAGCGAGGGGAGAGGGAGAACACCCCTCAAAGATGGGGGTGCGAGGAGCGCCACGAGCAGCACCGACAGCTACAATGCTCTTTTCGGCCGCGAGCAGGTGCTCCTCTAGGAGGGCGACTGTGAGCTCAGTGGGACAGCGAGCAAGGAAGTGGTCTCGAACTGAGCGGAGGGTGTCAGGGAGACGGGTGACTATGAAGTGGAGTGTCCAGTACAGTGGAGGGGGGTTCTTAGCGCAGAACTCGGTGGGAAGGGCGGCACGCAGGCGAGCATCACTAGTGCGAAGGTGGGTGATAAGATCGGCGACTGTAGTAAAGGTGGACAGATCGGGGAACAGGTACGGCAGCATGAGGCGGCTAAGCTCGGCTGTGGCAGGCGAGGAGTAGCGAGCGACGACAGCGTCGTACAGGGCCTTAGCGGATTTGCAGTCGCCAAAATGCTCTAGCTCAGCTAACGGCAGGTGACTGCGAATGGCTAGGCGAGCAGCTGCGTCACGAGTCTGCCAGTGGGAACGAACACTAAGCTCAGCTGTGGCAGGAGGGGCAGGCGCAGCACCAGACGCGTAGTCATAGAGCGACACATGCTCCTTGCTATCGCTCAGGAGAAACAGCTGCAGGTCATCTAGCCAAGCGGTGAAACGCACAGGGCGGCCCTCAGCATCGAACGACAGCACGCGAATGGAAGCCATAGCGACAGTGTGACAGAGTAACGCAAGCTGCCGCAGCAGGGGAAGGCGACTGTGCACGGATAGAGAGCAGCGGGCGAGGCTGGCGCTACGGGCAGGCGGCGCTGCAAGCGGTCAGTGCGACGGGAGGGCGACGCTGCGAGCGGGCAGCGCGGCGGACGGGCCGGGAAGCGGGCAGCGCGGCGGGCAGGCGGCGCTGCAAGCGGGCAGCACGGCGGGCGGGCGACGCTGCGAGGCGGGCGGGCCGCAAAGCGGGCAGCGGGCGGGCGGGCGGGCTGCGAAGCGGGCAGCGGGGCGAGCGGGCTGCGATGCGAGCGGGCCGCGAAGTGGGCAGCGAGCGGGCGGGCGGGCTGCGAAGTGGGCGGGCCGCGAAGCGGGCAGCGAGCGGGCAGCGAAACGGGCGGGCCGCGAAGCGGGCAGCGAGCGGGCGGGCGGGCTGCGAAGTGGCGGGCCGCGAAGCGGGCAGCGAGCGAGCGGGCTGCGAAGCGGGCGGGCCGCGAAGCGGGCAGCGAGCGAGCGGGCTGCGAAGCGGGCGGGCCGCGAAGCGGGCAGCGAGCGGGCGGGCGGGCTGCGTAGCGAGCGGGCCGCGAAGCGGGCAGCGAGCGGGCGGGCGGGCTGCGAGCGGGCGGCTCGGCGAGGGGCGCGCGAGGGCGCTAGTGAGGGGCGCGCGAGGGCGCTAGTGAGGGGCGCGCGAGGGCGCTAGCAAGGGGCGCGCGAGGGCGCTAACAAAGGGGCGCGCGAGGGCGCTAACGAAGGGGCGCGCGAGGGCGCTAACGTGGGTGCGCGCGAGGGCGCTAACGAGGGTGCGCGCGAGGGCGCTAACGAGGGCGCACGAGGGCGCTACGAGGCTAGGGCACGGGGTAGCGTGGTAACCGCATGCGAGCGGTGGTGGGCCCTAAAAAAACGATCGGTAGGTCCTAGGGACCTCCTGCTCTGATACCATATCAGAATCACTAGGCAAGGATGAATGAACTAGCAGAAGTTTGGGTACAAATATGAAACCCTAGTTGGGGTTGTACCCCATATTGGCTACCCCACTACAGCCTACAAGCATAATACAGTTTAACAGCTGTCGCACTTGTTGCTGTCGCAGTTGTTGCTGTCGCAGTTGTTGCTGTCGCTGTTGTTGTTGTCGCTGTTGTTGTTGTCGCTGTTGTTGGTGTCGCTGTTGTTGGCGTTGATGTTGTCGCCGCTATTGTCGGTGTGGTCTGTTGTCGTTGTCTCTGTTGTTGTTGTCGCTGCTCTTGTTGTCGCTGTTGTTGTCGATCGCTGTTGTTGTTGTTGTTGTTGTTGCTGTTGTTGTTGTTGCTGTTGTTGTTGCTGTTGTTGTTGTTGTTGTTGTTGTTGTCGCTGCTGTTGTTGGCGCTGATGTTGTCGCCGCTGTTGTCGTTGTGGTCTGTTGTCATTGCCGCTATTGTTGTTGACGCTGCTCTTGTTGTTGCTGTTGTTGTTGTTGTTGCTGTTGTTGTTGTCGCTGTTGTTAATGTCACTGTTGTTGTTGTTGTCGCTGTTGTTGGTGTCGCTGTTGTTGTTGGCGCTGATGTTGTCGCCGCTGTTGTCGGTGTGGTCTGTTGTCGTTGTCTCTGTTGTTGTTGTCGCTGCTCTTGTTGTCGATGTTGTTGCTGCTGTTGTTGTTGCTGCTGCTGTTGTTGTTGCTGTTGTTGTTGGCGCTGATGTTGTCGCCGCTGTTGTCGTTGTGGTCTGTTGTCGTTGTCGCTATTGTTGTTGACGCTGCTTTTGTTGTCGCTGTTGTTGTTGTCTTTTATTTATGTTGCATTTGTGGTTGATGTTGCAAGTGTGGTATGTGAACCGCGAATGAATTTGTTGATAAATGATGAAGTTTTTACCATAGACTATTATGGAAGCAAGATTTGTGAACTCATTATATAGTGTTGTACATTTGTTTAAAACCGCATATTTGTCATCAATGTTAATCCCTCAAAGTCAGGATCGGACTTGATTCGATGCACCCCACATGACAGGGGGAGTCGTTAGCGACTGCCGTGCCCAGCTGGAAACTCTGTCGTTACTCACATATGAGACAGAGTTCGAAACTGCCCAGCTGGAAACTCTGTCGTTACTGTGACTGAGTTCGAAACTGCCCAGCTGTAAACTCTGTCGATAGTGTTTGGTTGACTTGAACAGTTTACGGATTGGCTGGGCAACATGTCGCTATTTCGTACTGCTCACCAGGTCCATTTTTGGTGAGTCGAGCAACTTCCACGTCGACCTCACCTCCTATTCGCGGAAACCAATGCTTCCTGCCAACTCAAGTATGACAACGCGAATAATGAGCGAAGGCACGAGATGGACCTAGGCACAAAAACATGTACAGTGCATTCATTCTCCGAACGGAAGAAGTCACAAGTTGTCTGGTTGCTTTCACTTCCGCACCAATCGTCCTTGTTGCCTGGAACACTGTTACTCACCAGCAATGTAACAATTTACTAGTTTAGATGGTTACGATTTCATGTTGCCAAATGATCGTGTGGTCCATACATGCCTTCTGGTTCATTCGAATGTTCAAACTTGGCAATTCAAACGCTCTAACAAAGCCCTCTACTGCTAGTTAGAGCACAGAGGAGGACTTGGCTATGTTTTCCTCACGTCGCAACTCCTCCTGAAGCTCTCGTGCCAAAATTTAGTTTACATTTGGCGCCAACACTGGAGGGTTAAACGCTAAACGTTCCTCTATTGTGTGGTTAGCTCGTTTTGAGACAATATGTTGATCCTGCTCCTCGCCCAGACTTTCTCAGGAGATAGCAGAGCTCGTAGCAGGAGGCGTTTTCAGCTGCCTAGGCGCTCAATCACCTGCCAGCAGAACATCAATACACCTGCCAAGTGCCCACGACCACCTGCCCATCCTTGCCTCTCACCTGCCCAAATGTGCTGCTCACCTGCCCTTTGGCGCCAAGCACCTGCCCTTGGAGGAGCTGCAGTCTATAGGCCGAGTTTAACTACTACTTAAGTCACACATCGATGGGCTTCATTATCATATTCAACCGTCTCCTAGTTCCTATCCTTCTCGTTACGGTCTTCACAACCACCAGAACTATGGCTACTGTCCTTGCTATGCGTAGCGAGGTGACAGGCAAGCGCCCCATCAAGCTGACACCCAAGATGCAGGGAGCTGGGGGTCTTGGTACCCGATTGAGTGGTGGTGTCAAGAAGCGCAAGACTGCTGGCGGCCGACTGATCCAGAATGCGCGCAAGGATGGTGGCGATTCTGACATCAATGATGTCGACAATGTTGCGGGCAACACCATTGTCCACGCCTCTGCTGCCGCAGCTGATCCCGCTAGCGACGCTGGTGATGCCGCTCCCTTGGGGGTCAAGTCCATGCTGACGACTTCGATGATGAAGAGCATGACGAGGAAGAGGAACGCGTGAAGGCGCAGAATGAAATGACTGGTAAGAGGCACTGTTACCACTAACAGCAACACACTTTACCGCTTTTGTGCTTGCATTCCAGCTGTAAATGTTATGTCAGAGGTCCACTGGAGATCCCCGATGATCCTAGGGAAGGGTTACAGGCATGTCGGCTTGGGGGGTTATGGGCGCACTCACCCGCTACACAAACAAGCCCTTTTATCCCAGTGGTTAGTGGCTGGGATTCTGACATGGTATCAGAGCGAAGGTCTCGGGTTCGATTCCCGGTGTGTGCACTTCGGGCATCCCAGTGCGGGGGGGTGTCAGAGGTCCACTGGTGATCCCCGATGATCCTAAGGAAGGGTTACAGGCACGTTGGCCTGGGGGGTTATGGGCGCACTCACCCGCTACACAAACAAGCCCTTTTATCCCAGTGGTTAGTGGCTGGGATTCTGACATGTTACACACTTTTGAACCACTGTTTTGCTTGCATGCCAGCTGTAACCGTAACACACTTTGTCGGTGCTGCAGGGGACGGGCGACAGGACACGCTGAACAACATCACCGAGCGTGATGGGGCGTCGCTTCCCTCCCAAAGTCCTGCTGGGAGCCCACTGGAGGGTGTTGCCGCGGCATCTGACCAAGCTGCTAACGGGCGGCTTGCTGAATTGGAACGAACCACACAGAAGCAGTCGCTGCTGATTTCGTCGCTGCTGGAGAAACTTAACAACGGGTCCTGCTCGAACCCGGGGGGGGGGGGGGGGGTGCAATGGGTCCTGCCTTGGGGTCTCCAAGCACCAATGGAACGCCGCGATCAGCACCAACGTCGCAGCATGCTGATGTCGCCACACCAGAACGCGAAATGCTGCAGCGCCCGACGTCCAACCGTGCTTCCCCTGCTGGGACGCGGAAGCGGAAGTATCTAACGTTGAAGAACAACGGTAACGTGTGCGACGTAGTCCTGCACACGTCACTCAGCGGTATCCCGTTAAGGGACCAGGTCCTCATGCGCCAGTTGCCTGCCTACGGCAAGGCATGGAACGTAAGTGCCATATCGAAAGTGTGGAATGGGGGTTGGTGGGTTGTGTGTGTGTGGGTTATGGCTGAGGGGCTAATGGAATCATGATAAATTCCACGCATGCATTGCTGTTTGTTCATCCCCTCTTCACCCTTTTCTCACGCCCCTCCCTTTCTGGCCTTGCTTTGTTTTTAGTCGACCTCTTGATCTCGCCTGCCGATTTGCCACGTTTCCAAGTTTGCTGATCTGCCTATTCTTTTCCGCATTCCCATGTACCAGAAAAAAATGGAGCTAGCTGTGGTTGTGGCGTTCTTTCGCCAACCGGACGACGTTACAAGCGTGTACCCGTCAGAAAGCGTGGTGATGCGGTGCCTCATCGGTGTTTGGGGCAAGAGCAAGGCTGCCGCGCTGGCAGAAGTCATGATGTACTGCGTGGCGCGGGCAGGCGCTTCAACGCGCAAGCAGAGTGATTGGCGTGCGCGGATCTCGATGAATGGGCGCCGGAATTTTTCTGACGCTTTTGGGCTAGTTTGCAAAGCGAATCCCCGTCTGAAATTCGATTACACCGAGCTGATTTGTGATGAGGAGCGCACACCGACCCAAGTATACAACTTGGCGAGCGAGGATGGTACACCACTGGTCAAGCCTCTTGGTAAGTGCTGTTCGTGAGCATTGGTAACCACAGCTGTTACGCATGGTGCTGTTTAGTCGTATGTTCTTGGCATACCCTTGGTTATGACAGTACCCATCGTTCCATGTAACTAATGACTGCATGTTTGTTTCCATTGTTTAAATATGTACGTGTTGAGCAGAAAAGGGAGGGCTTCTTCGCTGGCACTTTGCTGACGGCACGATGCACCCGTTTGGCACTGTGCTCTTCGACATCATCGTCCGCAACGCCTTTCAGAAGGGAGCTGGCGGGTCGGCTACGGTGGTGAAGGCGTACCACATCGCCTATCTGCTGTATCTGGTACGTATGAGCGGATTTTTTACGTTTGCACATGTGCTAGCACTTAGTTTCCTGTGTTGTATAGCTATAAGATTGGTTGCTTTGAAAATTGCCTTGCATAGCCATTTTGTCGCCCCATCTTCCTTCCAACCATCTTCCCTCCGACCCTCATGTCAACCAATCGCACCCTTCCTGTTTCCCCTGCCACCTTACTCGTTTCCAGCCACACTGGCAGAAGCTTGTAGGGCGTTGATTCCTTGCCCAGCGTGGTGCACTCCATACAGTGGAGGTGTCATCGCATGCCTTATGTGCTCTATCACCTCTCACTTGGCTGCCATGTCCAGATTGCCTAAACAACACTATATTTCCCCTTCAATCCTCACTCCCTTGTTGTAACAGGTTGAATATTCAGTCGTGCACCACAAGGCTCGTGGCAAACGCATTCCAACGGATGCGGATGTCAATGCAGCTGACATTGCCAGCTACCACCGCAAGGTGAAGGCTGCCATTCGCAAGACCCTCGAGGAGTCCCCGAATGACCAGCTTCCTGCATGGTCGGAGCAGTATCAGGGGTGGGTGTTTGGACCCACCGAGACCGTGGTGATCTCGGGCAGCGGCTTCCCCGACCTTGTTCCCGATGGGGCTGACCCCGATGCCACCGAGAAGAAGGAGGTTGCTCTCCTGTTCGAATATGCCCAGGTGGAGCCCGAGAAAGGCAAGAAGAAGAAGACGGGTTCCAACAGCAGTGATGCCACCATGGAGCGTGATCTCCTGGATGATGTGGGTGAGTGGGAGGATGCGGAGGATAGTGTGTAGATGTGGATGATATGGGCGGGCAAATTGGTGCCATGCTGAGATGTGTTGTATTATATAGCGTATGTATTATATATATTGGGAAAATGGACAAATGGTAACTTTTGGGATACAAACATATGGGTCACTTTCAGCTAGAAATTGGAGCCCCAAATTCGCATAGTTTCCATACCATTGGACAGGCAAATGCATGGTTTTTTATCAGAAAATGCATGACTATCGGGAGGCCGTTTCATGATGTTGGGAAAACAAATGTAATATAAATAACATGTAAATGAGGTACATTTACTAACAAAATAGCTAGTCCTTTTTGTATGGAAATGGACCCTACTAAAAAGGTACGACAACTTCTACTTTATAGTAGGCCTAATCACCCCTCCTAAATACATACTAATGAGTATAGAAAAGGTATGTAAAAGGTATGTATAATCAATAGGGATTTTTGATATGCAGTTCGCGCCTGCGATCCACGAATTGGCGAATTCGAAGCCGTGCCACTGGGATTTCAGGTAGAGAAGGATGGATTCATCCGGCTTGTAGATCTTGACGGCGGCTTCGCAGAGATAAGGGGAGCTGCTGGAACCGCGTGAGCTAGTGGTGAAGTGAGTGGATGGAGAGATGAGGAGAGAAAGGAGAATGGAGAGAAAAGTTATCTGGTGGTTACTACTTTTGTGCAGCGCCATCGTTGCGAATGGAGATGTCACGCTATGGCGAAAGGTGCGAAAAGCAAGTAGAAGAAAATGTTAGTATCTTCGCATCTGGAGGGTGCCTCAAACGGAATCTTGCAAAACCACAAAGTGCACGGAGTGACAACATCGCGTTCTTATAAATACTCGTTTTGTAAGGACATATCACACAAGCAAGTGCACTTCCAAGAACTGCTCGGACTCTGAGCTGGGCTCGCCGTCGAGCTCTCCCACAATCGTTGGCAAGAAGCATGCGTTTGGGTTGTGCCTGCCCCGTGAATCGCGCGGAAGCAAGCTGCTCATCCAAGTCAAAGGTGTACTCCTTTCAAGTCACTTGAATGACGGGGAAGGAGAAGGGCGGAGCAGCACAAGGAAGGAAACAGAGAATGGCAGGAGCAAAAGCAGTGTCGCCTTGGCTGCCTGCTTCTCGCACGGTGCTGAGCGATGGTGGTAACCAATTTCGAGCAATCCAGCTCCGCGAAAATCGACTCGCGATGGTGGGTGGAGTTGACAAAATTTCTGTGAGTTTCGGAAGGCAAGGCAGCTGAAGTGGCTGACAGCGAGACATAGGATATGCAGCTAGTCTCCCCAGCCTCGAACCTCGCGGTCCGTGACAGCACAGCCTGACCAAAACTTGCGTAAGCCTAGGTGGCAGGTTCGGCCAGACAATTGTTTTCACCCAAGGCAATTCAGAAGACAAATTCAGACGAGCATATGCAGAATGGTGATGCTACTTCAATTATTTTGCAGGAATCCACTCTAGCATGCACTGCCAGCAAACCCAGAATGACCCTGATGCTGCCTTTACATGCTCCCCCCCACTTTGCTGCCTCTGATGGCAACTACTCCAATGTTGGACCTTTACTCCCTCTACGCCACTCTTCTGGTCTTGCAGAACGGGTATCAACAGCTTGTCAATACCTCGTCTTTCCAGTATCTCCTACGCTGCACTTCGCTCCATGTCCCCTAGAGTTTCAGACTTTGGCCAAAGCTGTTGCTGTCCGTTCACGCACATACGAACGCATCTCCCGCCTTCAAAGCGTAACCCTTGTCGCACACACACGAAAAACGCCAGCGCACCTTCCCACCCACTGGCGTTGGTCGACAAGTGCCATGCCCCCCACATGGTCCGGATTTGCCATTTGCACCGCAGAAAGCCGCGCACGAAGCAGGTCTGCGTTGCGAAGTAACCTTGCAACCAGGCACTTGCGAAAGGCAGTTACGAGCTACAGTAAGGTACACCGTTGAGTCATCCCCAGGCTTTTCCGTCTGCCCTTCGATCGGGCAGACTCGCTTGCCCCACGCCTGAATTTCCGATCTGCCCGAGAAGAAATTATCACGCAGGTCCAGATTGTATTCCCCTTCCGGCGTACCAAAATTAGGCAAACCTCCCGCGAAGAAATTATTCGACATGTTCAGAACCTGCATGTGGAGACCCTTGAACGGATTCCCTGGAATTCCGCCTGATAGAATGTTGTTCTGGATATTCAACCATGCTAGTTCTGGCGCGCCTGCTACCGCAGCCCACGGGAAGCTCCCTGAAAGCCGGTTGAATGACAGATCGAGTCCGTACAGCTTCGGCTGATTGGCTAGTAGAAACGCGGGAACGGGTCCTGTCAGCTTGTTTCCCGCCAGATTCAGGCTCTGGATGTTTTTCATCTGCCCGAGGGTTGCGAGGATTCGCCGAGAGACCTTGTTTTGGCTCAGGTCGATGTCTCTCAGCTTCGGGTGGTTCGCGAGAGGTGCTAGCGAAGTAACGACGAAGCTGTTACGCTTGAGCAAAAGACCCTCCAGTTTCGGGAGTCGCAGAAGTGTGCTCACGGGAAGGGGATGCCCCAATCGGTTGAAACCAGCCGTCAGCCTCACCAGACTGGTACACGCCGTTAGAGTTGACGGCAGCGGCCCTTCCAGCCGGTTATTCTGAATCATCAGGTACGTCAGCCCTTTCAGATTGCCGATCTCCGCCGGAATGCTACCGGTCAGCCGGTTGTCCGTGACGCCGAGAGTCTTCAGAACGGAAAGCGCGCCAAGCGTTCCCCCGGGAATGCTTCCTGTGAGCCGATTGGCGGAAAGATCCAACGTGTCCAACTTCTTGATCGTCCCGCCAAGGATAAACCCGGGAATGGGACCTGAAAAGCGGTTGCGCGAGAGGTCTAAGTAAACGAGGTTCGTCAAGCGGGAGAGCGTGGCCGGGATGGGTCCGCCCATGCCGGGACCGTTGTCGGTGATTCGCAGCTCCTGCAGGCGGCTTAGCAGGCCGATGGACCAGGGGAGGCGCCCCGTGAGCGTGTTTCCCCAGAAGACCAGACTCGTGAGGGCCGTTAGGTTTCCGATCGCGGGCGGGATGGTACCGTTGATCCACGCGCCGGAGAAGTCGAGGCGCGTGACGGCGCCGGACCTCGCGTCGCAGGTGACTCCCTGCCACGTGGAGCAGTCCGTGCCTGCGATCCACGAGTCCGCGTATTGAAAGCCGGGCCAGCGGGATTTCAGGAAGAGGAGGATGGATTGATCGGGCTTGTATATCTTAACTGCTTCGCAGAGATAAGGAGACTCCTCGTGCGAGGTACTACTGGGGAAGAAGCGAGTGGATGGAGCGACGAGGAGGAGCGCGAAGAGAAAGAAGCTGGGAAAGCTCCTCTGTTTACTACTAACTGGTGACGGCATCTTTGCGATGGGTGGCGTCTTTACTAGGTGGTCGACGCGATGGCGATGGACACGGAAAGCAAGCGGAAGAGATCGTTTGTAGATCTTTGCAACTGTAAGGTGGTCGCATGCGAGGATATCTGGAACTCTACGAGTGCACCGTCTTCGTGATCTAGCAGCAACTCCTAACTGCGAACATCTTAGTCCTAAAATGCTTTGTTTCCAATAGAATCAACGAGTGAGAATATATGCAGAGATTGATCAGGACACGAGCAAGTGGGGTGCCGGGAACGGCTGGGTAGCAACCGAGGTAGGAAGGTGCAGGTCGCGTGGCTCGTTGCTGGATGACAGGTAGACAGGATGCCTCGGCTAGCGCAATAAGCGTGAGTGGGAGGAGCTGCAAGGATTCATTTTTGCCCTGTTTCCTTTGCTGAGCTGTTTCAGCCGCGTGAACAAAGACGGTGAGCTGGGCCGCCGTCGTCGACCTTCCCTCGGGAGTGTCTTGGAAGAAGCATATGCCGTGAGTGTGCTGCTGTGCTCAAGTCTTGTGTGCGTAGCGAATCGTGCAGGAAGGGCGTCATGTCACGAAATTCAAGATGTGGATTGTATGATGTCGTGTGAAATGTGAGGGAGAATGGCGCGTCGCCTGCCCTTGGCGATATTCCTCGCATGGCGCTGCATCGCAATGAATTTCGAGCATCCAGCTCAGCGGGAATCGAGTCGCGATATTGGTGTAGGAACAAGTTCGAGGCGCGATTCTTGGTGGGTTGACTGCGTGCTCCAGGAGACATGCCACGTCATCCCTGTCAGCTCCGGAGCGCATAGAAGCTGAGCTGGAGGACAGCGGCTCTGACGGCGAAGGCAAAAAACACCATTATTTGAAAATGCTGTAGCTATATTAAAACCATTAAATGATGCTTTAGAATATGCTGCTCTAAAGCTGAAACTTGTACCACAAAACACGATACATAGGTATACGCAATGGAGCATTCAACACTTCAGTTGGGAGCTCAGCATGGCCCACGTTAACATCTGGACATGCTCTCGAGTGGAGAACTGTGACCAAATGTTTTAAGCTGTGCACAATCAGAGGCGACACTATAATGCTTTAGGTAATGTCCAAGTCAGACCAAGCACTGAGACATGCGTATGACAGTGCAGAACGGGGTATAATTTGGCATTTGGGGGCTGATGTGATAGGGTTTGTACGAACGGACAGGATTGCGATGGGAAAAGCGGAGGGGAGGTGAGGAAAAGCGAAAGGAAAGCCGGAGGAAATGGGGGACTAATGCGGAGGAGGAGGTGGGTTGGGAGACGTTGCATGTGTATCCACACGCCTGGATGACCGAACATGGCTGTTGATAGTTAGTCCATGAGAACTATGAGCAGTGTGACTACGAGAAGTATGACTATGAGAAGTGTGACTATCTTGAAGCTGAGAGGCCTGTTCTCTCCTGGCCTCGGCGTGAGCAGCCTCGGCTTGCTCTAAGCGAGTTGAGAAGAACGATATGGGTGAGGGAGAGGAGGAGGAGGAGGAGGAGGAGGAGGAGGAGGAGGAGGGGAGGAGGAGGAGGAGGAGGAGGAGGAGGAGGAGGAGGAGGAGGAGGAGGAGGAGGAGGAGGAGGAGGAGGAGGAGGAGGAGGAGGAGGAGGAGGAGGAGGAGGAGGAGGAGGAGGAGGAGGAGGAGGAGGAGGGCAAAGAGGACTGCACCGGCGACTTTTCAGCTTGAGGGAACAGATGTGACGTGCTTTGAGACGGCCTTCGAGGCATCCCAAAGGACGACAGCGATGACAAGGATGCTGACGAGGATGATGATTCAACATGAGGAAAGAGATGTGATGACGAGGACGATGATGAGGATGATGACGAGGACGATGACGGGGACGCTGTTTCAACACGAGGGAACAGGTGTGATGACGTGGCAGCTGAAGGAGGAGAGATGGGTGGCCTTTCTTGTCTGGGCTTGAATGAGCCAGCAGGGGGTGGGGCTACTCGCTTGGGGGTAGGTGCAACTGGGGAAGGTACTTTTGGTGTGGGGAGTTTGGGCGAAGGTGCCTTGGGGGTAGGTAAAACTGGGGAGGGTGTTTTTGGCGTGGGGCTTTTGGGGGAAGGTGGCTTGGGAGTTGGGGCCTTGGGTGGAGGAGGAGGGAAGGGAGGGAAGGAGACTCGTTCAGACCTGCACGAGGGAGGGAGCGAGAGGGAAATGTGAGGGAAGTGTTGAACTGGACTGGACTTTGGGCAATGGGAGCACAAAAATGGGAGGATGGGGGGAAGTCTTTTGAGACGTCTCAAAATTCAGGGTTTAGGGAAATGCGAGAAAGTGGGGAACTGGACTTTGAGTGATGGGAGCACAAAAATGGGAGGATGGGGGGAAGTCTTTTGAGACGTCTCAAAATTCAGGGTTTAGGGAAATGCGAGAAAGTGGGGAACTGGACTTAGAGTGACGGGAGCACAAAAATGGGAGGATGGGGGGAAGGTGGGGGATGGGGGAGACTCGCTCAAACGTGAACAAGGTAGGATGTGGGGAATCGGATTTGTGGCATTGGGAAGAGGAGGAAGAAGCAGGAAGAGGGAACGAGGCGGAATTTGACACACACTGGCCTGTAAAGGTCAGTTCTCTCTGTGCGTGTGACCCACACTGGTGACTAGCCCACACTGGTGACTAGCCCACACTGGTGACTAGCCCACACTGGTGACTAGCCCACACTCAACAGCACTGGGCTGCCATGGCGTTGATGAGCCAGCGGGTGTAGGGCTTGGGGGTGAGGGTGTGATGGTGCGTTGGTGAGCAAGAGAGATATGGCTGACCTCATGCTTACTGTGCGTCTGATTCACACTCACTCACCCGCGCTGGGCTGCCATGGCGTTGATGAGCCAGCGGGTGTAGGGCTTGGGGGTGAGGGTGTGATGGTGCGTTGGTGAGCAAGAGAGATATGGCTGACCTCATGCTTACTGTGCGTCTGATTCACACTCACTCACCCGCGCTGGGCTGCCATGGCGTTGATGAGCCAGCGGGTGTAGGGCTTGGGGGTGAGGGTGTGATGGTGCGTTGGTGAGCAAGAGAGATATGGCTGACCTCATGCTTACTGTGCGTCTGATTCACACTCACTCACCCGCGCTGGGCTGCCATGGCGTTGATGAGCCAGCGGGTGTAGGGCTTGGGGGTGAGGGTGTGATGGTGCGTTGGTGAGCAAGAGAGATATGGCTGACCTCATGCTTACTGTGCGTCTGATTCACACTCACTCACCCGCGCTGGGCTGCCATGGCGTTGATGAGCCAGCGGGTGTAGGGCTTGGGGGTGAGGGTGTGATGGTGCGTTGGTGAGCAAGAGAGATATGGCTGACCTCATGCTTACTGTGCGTCTGATTCACACTCACTCACCCGCGCTGGGCTGCCATGGCGTTGATGAGCCAGCGGGTGTAGGGCTTGGGGGTGAGGGTGTGATGGTGCGTTGGTGAGCAAGAGAGATATGGCTGACCTCATGCTTACTGTGCGTCTGATTCACACTCACTCACCCGCGCTGGGCTGCCATGGCGTTGATGAGCCAGCGGGTGTAGGGCTTGGGGGTGAGGGTGTGATGGTGCGTTGGTGAGCAAGAGAGATATGGCTGACCTCATGCTTACTGTGCGTCTGATTCACACTCACTCACCCGCGCTGGGCTGCCATGGCGTTGATGAGCCAGCGGGTGTAGGGCTTGGGGGTGAGGGTGTGATGGTGCGTTGGTGAGCAAGAGAGATATGGCTGACCTCATGCTTACTGTGCGTCTGATTCACACTCACTCACCCGCGCTGGGCTGCCATGGCGTTGATGAGCCAGCGGGTGTAGGGCTTGGGGGTGAGGGTGTGATGGTGCGTTGGTGAGCAAGAGAGATATGGCTGACCTCATGCTTACTGTGCGTCTGATTCACACTCACTCACCCGCGCTGGGCTGCCATGGCGTTGATGAGCCAGCGGGTGTAGGGCTTGGGGGTGAGGGTGTGATGGTGCGTTGGTGAGCAAGAGAGATATGGCTGACCTCATGCTTACTGTGCGTCTGATTCACACTCACTCACCCGCGCTGGGCTGCCATGGCGTTGATGAGCCAGCGGGTGTAGGGCTTGGGGGTGAGGGTGTGATGGTGCGTTGGTGAGCAAGAGAGATATGGCTGACCTCATGCTTACTGTGCGTCTGATTCACACTCACTCACCCGCGCTGGGCTGCCATGGCGTTGATGAGCCAGCGGGTGTAGGGCTTGGGGGTGAGGGTGTGATGGTGCGTTGGTGAGCAAGAGAGATATGGCTGACCTCATGCTTACTGTGCGTCTGATTCACACTCACTCACCCGCGCTGGGCTGCCATGGCGTTGATGAGCCAGTGGGTGTAGGGCTTGGGGGTGAGGGTGTGATGGTGCGTTGGTGAGCAAGAGAGATATGGCTGACCTCATGCTTACTGTGCGTCTGATTCACACTCACTCACCCGCGCTGGGCTGCCATGGCGTTGATGAGCCAGCGGGTGTAGGGCTTGGGGGTGAGGGTGTGATGGTGCGTTGGTGAGCAAGAGAGATATGGCTGACCTCATGCTTACTGTGCGTCTGATTCACACTCACTCACCCGCGCTGGGCTGCCATGGCGTTGATGAGCCAGCGGGTGTAGGGCTTGGGGGTGAGGGTGTGATGGTGCGTTGGTGAGCAAGAGAGATATGGCTGACCTCATGCTTACTGTGCGTCTGATTCACACTCACTCACCCGCGCTGGGCTGCCATGGCGTTGATTAGCCAGCGGGTGTAGGGCTTGGGGGTGAGGGTGTGATGGTGCGTTGGTGAGCAAGAGAGATATGGCTGACCTCATGCTTACTGTGCGTCTGATTCACACTCACTCACCCGCGCTGGGCTGCCATGGCGTTGATGAGCCAGCGGGTGTAGGGCTTGGGGGTGAGGGTGTGATGGTGCGTTGGTGAGCAAGAGAGATATGGCTGACCTCATGCTTACTGTGCGTCTGATTCACACTCACTCACCCGCGCTGGGCTGCCATGGCGTTGATGAGCCAGCGGGTGTAGGGCTTGGGGGTGAGGGTGTGATGGTGCGTTGGTGAGCAAGAGAGATATGGCTGACCTCATGCTTACTGTGCGTCTGATTCACACTCACTCACCCGCGCTGGGCTGCCATGGCGTTGATTAGCCAGCGGGTGTAGGGCTTGGGGGTGAGGGTGTGATGGTGCGTTGGTGAGCAAGAGAGATATGGCTGACCTCATGCTTACTGTGCGTCTGATTCACACTCACTCACCCGCACTGGGCTGCCATGGCGTTGATTAGCCAGCGGGTGTAGGGCTTGGGGGTGAGGGTGTGATGGTGCGTTGGTGAGCAAGAGAGATATGGCTGACCTCATGCTTACTGTGCGTCTGATTCACACTCACTCACCCGCGCTGGGCTGCCATGGCGTTGATTAGCCAGCGGGTGTAGGGCTTGGGGGTGAGGGTGTGATGGTGCGTTGGTGAGCAAGAGAGATATGGCTGACCTCATGCTTACTGTGCGTCTGATTCACACTCACTCACCCGCGCTGGGCTGCCATGGCGTTGATTAGCCAGCGGGTGTAGGGCTTGGGGGTGAGGGTGTGATGGTGCGTTGGTGAGCAAGAGAGATATGGCTGACCTCATGCTTACTGTGCGTCTGATTCACACTCACTCACCCGCACTGGGCTGCCATGGCGTTGATTAGCCAGCGGGTGTAGGGCTTGGGGGTGAGGGTGTGATGGTGCGTTGGTGAGCAAGAGAGATATGGCTGACCTCATGCTTACTGTGCGTCTGATTCACACTCACTCACCCGCGCTGGGCTGCCATGGCGTTGATTAGCCAGCGGGTGTAGGGCTTGGGGGTGAGGGTGTGATGGTGCGTTGGTGAGCAAGAGAGATATGGCTGACCTCATGCTTACTGTGCGTCTGATTCACACTCACTCACCCGCACTGGGCTGCCATGGCGTTGATTAGCCAGCGGGTGTAGGGCTTGGGGGTGAGGGTGTGATGGTGCGTTGGTGAGCAAGAGAGATATGGCTGACCTCATGCTTACTGTGCGTCTGATTCACACTCACTCACCCGCGCTGGGCTCCCGTGGCGTTGATTAGCCAGCGGGTGTACGGCTTTGGGGTGAGAGGTCAGGTGAGGTGAGGAGAGGTGAGGAGAGGTGAGGATGTGGCAATGTGGGCAGTGAGAGTCCAGGTTACAGCGGGGCTGTAACCATGGCCAGGTGACTCTGACCCACTCACTCACCCGCACTGGGCTGCCATGGCGTTGATGAGCCAGCGGGTGTACGGCTTTGGGGTGATGGAGGACCATCCGCGCACCTGAGAAGATGCGAGGGGATGCAAACGGGGGGTGGAAAAAGGGAGATTGGAGATTTTTTAGGCTTGAAGGTGACGTCTCACAAAAAGGCTTGGGAGTGATGGCAGACCATCCGCGCACCTGAGAAGATGGGAATGGCGGGTGAGAAGAAGGGGAGTAAAGAGAATCATGAGACGTGTCAAAGCTAGGCTTGGCGGTGCAAATTATGTGTGTGTGTGTGTGTGTGTGTGCGTGTGTGTGTGTGTGTGTGTGTGTGTGTGTGTGTGTGTGTGTGTGTGTGTGTGTGTGCGTGCGTGCGTGCGTGTGTGTGCGTGTTTGGAACTATGTTTGTGTGCGTGTGTGTGTGCGCGCGCGTGCACACGTGTATGTGTGCGTGTGTTTGTGTTTGATTGAAAACACTTACCTTGGGAGTGGGAAAGAGGAGGCCTGTAGTGACGCCGTAAGCTGACATGAACTCCGTGAGAAGAGGCGCGCGTGTTTCCATGTGCGCATGCATGTGCGCATGCATGCGTGCATGCATGTGTGTTTGTATGAACAGAGGAACTCACCTTGGGAGTGGGAAAGAGGAGGCCTGTAGTGACGCCATAGGCTGATATGAACTCCGTGAGAAGAGAAGGTGGTGGTGGCTGTATGAGATGAGGAACTTGAGGGAGAGAGATGGTGGCGATGGTCAGTGTATGCATGTAGATGTGTGTGGGTGCGCGGACGCGTGCTTGTGTGGACACTGAATGTTCACTCACCTTGGGAGTGGGAAAGAGGAGGCCTGTGGTGACGCCGTAGGCTGAAATGAACTCCGTGAGAAGAGGAGGCACTTGAGCAAGAGAGGTGAGAGAGGAGGAGGAGATGGACGAGGCAGAGAAGGAAACAGAGAAGGAAGAGGAGGAGGAAGGAGATGACGATGAAGAGGAGAGGTGGGGGAAGAGAGGTCGCACGTCTGGGTCAAGAGCAGCAGCAGCAGCAGCAGCAGCAGCAGCAGTGGCATGAAGAGAGAAGGCTGAGGAGGAGGAGAATGACGACGATGAATCGAGGGGAAGACGAGAGGACGAGGAGGGAGAGGAAGAATAGGAAGAGGAAGAGGAGAGAATAGAGGCTGAAGCGGCCTGAAAGAGGCTGCTGGCTCTATTAGCTGAGGGGGCGATGGCAACCCCAGAGAGCAGCAGGGACGTGCAAGGGACGGATCGGCTGCAGTTGAAGAGAATGGCGTGTGTGCCGTTGGCCGTGCCCTTCACGTTGATAAAGCTGATGTCTGTGACGGCTACTGCCTCTTTCCTCTCCCTGCACTTGCTGGGAGAGGTATCACAGTAAAACTGGGAGATGAAACGGGGGGGAAGCGGGAGAGTGACCCTTCACGTTGATGAAGCTCCCGTCTGCCACTGCTAGTAAAGGGGACGAGGGAGGGAGCGACCACAACCTGAGATACCAGGGAGCATGAGAGTATGAGAGTATTCAGAGAGTATGAGAGTATGAGAGTATGAGAGCATGAGAGTATGAGAGTATGAGTATGAGAGTATGAGAGTATGAGAGTATGAGAGTATGGCAGGTTGTTTACTGCCTCTCTTAGCCCTAGTAAGTTTGCAGCTCGCTGAGAATATGTCTGTAGACCGAGGGGATGAGGGAGGGAGCGACTGCAACCTGAGTATTCAGAGAGGATGAGAGTAAGAGAGTATTCAGAGAGTATGAGAGTAAGAGAGCATGAGAGTATGAGAGTATGAGAGTATGAGAGCATGAGAGTATGAGAGTAAGAGAGTATGAGAGTATGAGAGTATGAGAGTATGAGAGTATGAGAGTATGAGAGTATGATGAGAGTATGAGAGTATGAGAGCATGAGAGCATGAGACCATGATGAGAGTATGACAGGAGAGATCGGCTGCAGTTGAGTAGAATGGCGTGTGTGCCGTTGACGTTGACCGTGCTTTTGTGAGTCGACTCAAAAGTGCTGATGCCCGTCCCCTTGTTTTTGAGTCGACTCAAATGCGCTGTTGCCCGTGGCCTTCGCGTTCACGAAGCTCACTCACACATCACATCAATGCAAGCCCCTCGCCTCGCTGGTAAGTGTGGTACGTGTGGTGTGGGGTGTGTGGAAGAAGCACCACACTGCACCACACTGCATTACACTGCACCAAACTGCACCGCACTGCACCAAACCGCACCGCACTGCACCGCACTGCATACCTGATCAATGATTATCGGCCATGTGACATCGGTCACTCGAATGTCCTTATAAGTCACGTTCGATACAAGCCCCTTGCCGCCCTGATATGTCTTGATTCGCAGAGCATTGTTTGACCCCGTGAAGCTCACATTCCTTACAAGCACATCCGACACACAGCCGGTCTCCTGGTCCTCCCCCAGGCTCCCAATGCTGTGCGAGATGAGAGGGAGGTGGGGTCGGGAAGAAGGGGTAAGTGTTGATTCGCAGCGCGTTGTTTGACCCCGTGAAGCTCACATTCCTTACAAGCACATCCGACACACACGCTGTCTCTTGGTCCTCTCCCAAGCTTCCTATGCTGGCAAGGCCAAGGGGAAATGGGGGACCAAGGGGAGGCCAAAGGGGAGATGGGGGAACATGAGAGGGGGAACATGAGAGGGGGAACATGAGAGGGGGAACATGAGAGGGGGAACATGAGAGGGGGAACATGAGAGGGGGAACATGAGAGGGGGAACATGAGAGGGGGAACATGAGAGGGGGAACATGAGAGGGGGAACATGAGAGGGGGAACATGAGAGGGGGAACATGAGAGGGGGAACATGAGAGGGGGAACATGAGAGGGGGAACATGAGAGGGGGAACATGAGAGGGGGAACATGAGAGGGGGAACATGAGAGGGGGAACAAGCGTCGTTGTTAGGCCCCGTGAAGCTCACGTTCCTCACAAGCACATCCGAGACACACCCCGTCTCTTGATCCTCCCCCAGGCTGCCGATACTGGCAAGGCCAAAGGGGAGATGGGGGTCGGGGAGGAGGGGAGCATGAGAGTGGGAGCAAGCGTTGTTTCACCCCGTGAAGCTCACGTTCCTTACAAGCACATCCGACACACACGTTGTATCTTGGTCCTCTCCCAGGCTGCCGACGCTGGAAAGACAGGGAGGGAGGAACAGAGAGAAAGAGAGTTGTTTGACCCCGTGATGCTCACGTTCCTCACATTCCTATGCTGTGAAGGGGGAGGGGACGGAGGTGGAGAGCAGATGCAGGGAAAGACAGAAAGGTACTGCTTTGGAGCTGTGAAGCTCACATTCCTTACAAGCACGTCCGAGATGCACCCTGTCTCCTGATCCTGCCGATGCTGGAAAGACAGGGAGGGAGGAACGGAGAGAAAAGAGCGTTCTTTGACCCCGTGAAGCAAACATTCCTCACAAGCACGTCCGATACACACGCTGTCTCTTGGTCCTCTCCCAGACTCCCAATGCTGTGGAAGGCAGAGAGAGGAAAGGAGAAACGATAAAAAGAGGTGAGAGGCAAGATGAACTGGTTTTTGAGACGTCTCAAAAACACTCATTTCATGTGAACCGGAGAAAGACGCTGAGGAAGAGCAGGGAAGAAAGGAAAGAGAAGAACAGGAAAGAGGAAAAAGGGGAAGGGGGGGAGATGAAGGTTGAGACGGGGAGGGAGACAAGGGAGAAATATGAGACGAAACCGACCAACTTGTGACTGTTGCCGCAATTATAACTCCGCGAAAGAATTTCCCTCACATCCTTCCATCACCATTGTTCCAGGAAACTCATTCCATGGCCGTCAATTTTCCTCACCTCACTCCGTGACCGTTGATGCACACGAGATTCTCAACCAGCAGATTATGACAGCCATCATTGATTGCCACGTTGTCATCTCCTGATTGGCGAAGAGGGGAGTTGGGGGAAACAGGACCGGGATTTGGGGAAAGACGAGGGGGTAAGGGGATAAGGTTGGGGAAGAGAAAGCACCAGTCATCATTAGTCATGGCATAAGCTACAGTTGCCTGTGATACGTAAGCATCAAGGTATGGTATAACACTGTAGGCCTGAAGGTATGGTATTTAATTCTTCAGTCTCATATGGGCACAATCACTTCGTGTGTGGATAGATGGATTCTCCTCTTTTGCATCCACTTCCTGACCAGAAAATGTATATGAAAATATATGTATGTACATCAGAAAAAGCAAAGAGTGTCTACTTATCCTCGTTACAAGCAGACTAACCACTCTGCAGATGGCTGTTTTGTATGATGATGCCATTCTCGAGTCTCGACCTTGGAAAGCTGAATGCTGTCCGTGGTGGGGCTGTTTTTCCCCTCTAAGTAGGACGTGCATTCCTAGTGTCCTCGTTATAAGCAAACCCACTCAACACCCTGCCGATGGCTGTTCTGAATAATGCCACTTTTAGCCTTGGAGAGCTGAATGCTCTCCGTGTTGGGGCTGTTTATCCTCTCTATAAGCAGGATGCACTTTCCTATTTGTCTGCCTTATAACTCACCGCCTTGTAGATGGCTGTTTCGTATGATGCCATTCTCCACCTTGGAAAGTTGAATGCTGTCCGTGTTGGGGCTGTTTATCCCCTCTACAAGCATTTGTCCTCGTTATAAGCAAACCCACTCACCGCCTTGTAAATGGCTGTTTCGTATGATGCCATTCTCGACCTTGGAGAGCTGAATGCTGTCCGTGTTGGGGCTGTTTATCCCCTCTACAAGCATTTGTCCTCGTTATAAGCAAATCCACTCACCGCCTTGTAAATGGCTGTTTCGTATGATGCCATTTTCGACCTTGGAGAGATGAATGCTGCCCGTGTTGGGGCTGTTTATCCCCCCCATAAGCAGGATGCGCGTTCCTATTTGTCCTGGTTATAAGCAAACTCACTCACCGCCCTGCAGATGGCTGTTTCGTATGATGCCATTCTCGATCTTGGATAGCTGAATGCTGTCCGTGTTGGGGCTGTTGAATGGGCTGCGAGTGGTTATCCCCTCTATAAGCAGCCCGTTACTGCCATACACCTTGAGGTGTGCCTTGCCTGGATTGCTGTAGATAACAGGGAGAGCAGGACATAGCAAACAGGGAGGACAAAAAATGGGAAACAAAGGGAGGAGGGAAACAGAGGAACCAACCCCTCTAAAAGGGTTCAAGCTGAGTAGCCTGCAATCAAAGGTGAATACCAAGGATTCAGCCATGTGTAGGGCAGGCAGACAAGATGAGATATATGAGAATATAAATATATATATGTATATATATGTGTGTACATGTATATATATGTGGGTGTGTTTGTGCACGTGTATTTATATACATATAAAATAAAAATATATAACCTCTTGAGTCCATCCAAAAGGCATGCATAGGACAGGCACGTTGATGAAGAAAAATCTTCTGAGGCGGCTCAAAAACCATACATATGCAGCAGGGCAGACGAGATGATAAAATGATTCGCGTGCCAACTTACGTGACCCCAATGCCTTAAGGTGTATTTTGAGGCGCCCAAACAAAACCATACGTATGCAGGGCAGACGAGATGATAAAATGATTCGCGCGCCAACTTACGTCATCCCAATGCCCTGCACTGTAGCGTTGTCGCAGTGCATCAAGAACAGCAGTGCTGGCCGCTTTTTGCCCTTTCCCTTCGCCCAAAACCCAAATAGATGCACGAAGCACACTTTTGATTTGAGGTGCCTAGGGAAACTTACGTCATCCCAATGCCCTGCACTGTAGCATTGTCGCAGTGCATCAAGAACAGCAGTGCTGGCCGCTTTTTGCCCTTTCCCTTCGCCCAAAACCCAATAGATGCACGAAGCACACATTTGATTTGAGGTGCCTAGGGAAACTTACGTCATCCCAATGCCCTGCACTGTAGCATTGTCGCAATGCATCAAGAACAGCAGTGCTGGCCGCTTCTTGCCCTTTCCCTTCGCCCAGAACCCCGCCCCCCGCCCGTCCATCCACCCGCCTCCCGTGACGGCCAGGTTGGGAACCCCTCGGAAGAACAGCAGAGCCCATGCGTTGCTCTTGCGTGGTTTGGGGTACGAGGTGACATTGGCAGCACCGGCTATGCCACCGTTGATCTGATGTTGTGGGGAGAGAGTATAGATGAACGAGAGGCGTTCGGGGGAGGTAGGTTCGGTTCGGAAGCCCTCGAAAGAACAGCAGCGCCCACGCGTTGCTCTTGCGCGGCTTGGGGTAGGAAGTGACGTTTGCTGGCCCGGCTATCCCACCGTTGATCTGGTGGTGTGGGGAGAGAGGGTAGATGCACACAGGGCGTCTGGGGGACGCAGGTTTGGTTGGGCACCCCTCGGAAGAACAGCAGCGCCCACACGTTACTCTTGCGCGGCTTGGGGTAGGAGGTCACGTTGGCAGCACCAGTGATACCACCATTGATCTAATGTGTGAGAGAGCAGAGATGAATAAGGGAGGAGGGAAGCGTTAGACTGGGCACCGCTCGAAAGAAGTGCAGCGCCCACACGTTGCTCTTGCGCGGCTTGGGGTACGAGGTCACGTTGGCAGCACCAGCGATACCACCATTGATCTGATGAGGGGGCAGAGACAAACAAGGGAGGTGAGAGCGAGCACCACATGCGGCACCTCTCGGAAGAACAGCAGCGCCCACGCGTTTTTCTCTTGCGCGGCTTGGGGTAGGAGGTCACGTTGGCAGCACCAGCGATACCACCGTTGATCTGTTGTGCAAATGGGCAGTGGAGAGAGGCAAGGGAGGGCGAGGCGAGCATCAGACTGGGCATTCCTTGGAACAACAGCAGCGCCTACCCACGCGTTGCTCTTGCGCGGCTTGGGGTACGAGGAGGTCACATCGGCAGCACCGGCAACGCCACCGTTGATCTGTTGCGAGGAGAGAGGAAGTGGAGGGATGAGGGGGAAGTGGATAAAGAGGGCGTAAGGAAGTGTGGTGATTGGGGGAAAGGGCTGCGGCGCGGGAATGGGCTGGCGGAAGCCGCACCCACCACCCACCCACTGCCCGTCCATCCACCCAGTTCCAAATACTGGCAGCTTCACAAGAACGCCGCAGAACCCCATGGGCCCATGTGTTGCTCTTGCGCAGTGAATCTAGACAAACTCGCCCACATGTGAAACACACCTGAAACTCGCCTGACGCACACCATAATTTCATTCAATTCCCACCTGATGAATCTCACCTGAAACTCCAATCCCGCGCTGTAGGGTCCCTCCATCTCGATTGGAAAGATCTGAAACAGCCCGCTCGCGCGGACCACCACACATTCCCTTTTCCCCATTCGCACCGCTTCCCACCTACCTGAATCTCCAAGTCAGCGCCGCACGGCCCCTCCAACTCGATCAGGAAGATCTGGAACGGCCCACTACATGTCATCCGCTCCCACCACGCACACCACTGCACCGCTTCTCACACATCCACACCGCTTCGCGCCCACCTGAACCTCTAGCCCTGCGCCGCACGGCCCCTCCAGCTCGATAGGGAAAATCTGGAACAGCCCGCTCGCGGGAACCACGAGGCGCGCGTACGCGCTCCGCGCCTCCCCCCACGCGCACGCGGTCTGCAGCGCGCGCCGAAACGCGTCCGTGTTGTCCGTGCGCCCGTCCGCGCGCGCCCCGAACTGTAGCACGTTGAAGACTCCCTGGCCGTTGACTGGCCACGGCTGGAAGAACGGCGGAGGCGGCGGAGACGGCGGAGGCTTGACTGGGGGAGGCTTGACCGGGGGAGATTTGACCGGGGGAGGCTTGACTGGCGGAGACTTGACTGGCGGAGGCCCCGGGATTGGGGGGTCCGGGACTGGGGGGGCCAGGCTCGGAGGAGCCGGCGAGACCTGGCTCGGATCCCGAGGCTGCATGAAAGCGAACGTAGAGACCAGGTTCGGACCAGACGAGAGGCTCGGCGCGGAAACGTGCGGATTCGTGGCGGAAAGAGTGCGGCGATCAGGGGAAGCTTCCGCGTCGTTGGCTGCTGACAGAACGGCACGAGGAACGGCTAGCCGGCCGGATAGATGGAGTCGCTGACGGGCGTTGCCTGGGTGCAGTCGCATTGGATTCGTGTTGGCGGGATCTGCGGAAGGCCACGCAAACGGCGCGTTCGCTTCATGACTGCGTTTCGAGCTTTCATAATCCGCGATATAAGGCGCGACGGTATAAGGGCTACCATCTGCTGAGCTGGCAGTGGCGATTGCGGATAACAGGAGAATCGCAAACGGCACGACCATCTTCCTAATCATAGAATGAAATGCAGCCCGTCAATGATCCGATATCTGCGGCGAGATGACGTATCCTAAGGAACTGTCTCAAAGCAGTAGCATTACGAAATTCACTCTAAGAGAGTATCCGTTCGACGTGAAGCTCGATCTGCTCGTTACGTTTCTCCATTGTAGCTCGCTCCTCGGTAAAGCTCTAGCTCGGATCGGACCTTCTTCTGCTGTGCTGGGCCCTCTACCATAGAAAAGCGGATCTCATTCGAACTGGATCTCACTTAGCACAGCTCGGAGCGCGTGGGATGGCATATCATCGCCAGAAATTAATCGCCTCGCCAGCCCGGACTGGGGGTTGGGAGGGACGAGGGAGATAGACGCCATCCGAGCCTAAAGGGGCGTTCTGGTTCGGAATAGGCTCGAGGGTGCCACTCGCTCCACCTGACCTGCGCAGGTTGCAAAATCATCCCACGCGTTGTGATGTAACCACGGTTCGAATGTCTATACAGCGTTTAAAAGCGGTGCTGATGCTGCGTGCTGAACCGGGCTGAGGTGCGTGTGTGCACCACAACCAGCCATACAGCAAATGTGGATGTAGGTATGGCACCGGATTTTCAAACCAGACCGACATTGCTTGGTTTCCTGGCTGGTCAAGCCCAGGGTGGAACTGTACTTCGCAGGGAACAGCACCACCAACAACCAAGCCGAACCGAGCCCAAGCCGAACCCAGCGACCACGGCCCTACTTTGGGAAAGCTGGCAACTTTGACTTGAAATGTGAACTGTAGTGAATCGAGACACATTCGAGGCGCGTTATGCCTTTGCGGGTCGTTCAGCGCGGTTCCATACGTGAAAAACACGGTTCGTTACGGTTGACAGCGAGATAGGTCTTCTGGTGCCTTTTTGTTCCTCACGAGTCGCGGTAGCCTTCTTCTAACGAGCGCCACTGTGTCCCACACATTTTAAATATTTAGCAAATATCATCACACAACCCTACAGTAACTTCATGTCATCAGTTTAAAACTGCTAGGCCAAACTATTTCCATATTTTAGCGACATGAAGTCTCCGTACGCAACTATGATACATATAGACGAAATCAGAATTTTGGGAAATATAGATTGCGCACTAAATTACTGAAATGACTAATCTAGGGAAGAATCGCCTGCATATTTGTGACTATTGTTTGTAGTGCAATATATGTAGCTTTGTTTTATTACCCTTAGTGTTTCTATTCAAATTTATAATCCGGCATTGTTGCGACATTTAGGAGTTGACGTGGCATGTCATATGGAGCACGCAGTCACCCTCTACCAGTTACCGCGCCTAGATTTCACCCCTTCCACGGCAAAGCGACTCGATTTTCCCTGGGCTGGGTTGCTCGAAATTGATCGCCATCCAGCACCGTGCTGCCTACCACTGGCTTCGTGGCTCTTGCCCCTTTTGCTAGGCCTGTTTGTGACGCTCTCTGCCGTCTTCCTTCCCCTCGCATCGCATGTCGCTTCACTTCGGTTCGATCAATTCAGTCACCTCCTTGCACGATCCACAAGGCACGCACATTTCATGACGATCAATTCACACAGACTGCCGAGCCGACCGATACCTTTTCCAGGATAATCATGTCGAGAGCTAGACGGCGGCAACCAAGCTCACCTTTTTTGCTCATTTTTGCCTGAACCATCTCAGCAGAGGAAACAAGCCCAAAATGAATTCCCGCAGCTCCTCCCAATACAGCACTTACTACCGTGCCGTCCTCAGCGCACCGCTTCCTATCATTCTCTGTATATATGCTCACAGGACGATCTGTTGCAACGACTAATTCAGAAGCTAAGAAGTTCGTAGTTTGGAGTTTTCGCAGATAAGGCTTACGATTTCTCGCAACCACCACCATCGCGTCAACGACACTTTCATCGCAGAAATGTCGTCACCCGTTATTACTAACCGCAGAAATTTTCGCTCCATTCTTCTCTTCTCCCTCCTCCTCATCTCGCCATCCACTCACTTCTTAACTATTAGTAGACCACGCGGCAACGGCCTCCCCAGTAGCTCTCCTTATCTCTGCGAAGCCGTCAAGATTTACAAACCCGATGAATCCATCCTTCTTTTCCTAAAATCCCGCTGGCCCGGTTTCCAATTCGCGAACTCGTGGGTCGCAGGAACGGACTGCTCCACGTGGCTCGGAGTCACCTGCGACTCGAAGTCCGGCGCGGTCACGCGTCTCTACTTCTACGCCGTGGGGATCAACGGCACGATCCCGTCCGCGATCGGAAATCTAACGGCCCTCGTGAGCCTGGTGTTCTGGCGCAACAGGCTTACGGGGCGCCTCCCGCCGTCCATAGGTCTGCTAACCCGTCTGCATGAGCTGCGAGTAACCAACGACGGTCCCGGGATGCGCGGAAGCATACCGGCCACGCTCTCCCGTTTGACGAACCTCGATAACCTCGACCTTTCAAGCAACCTTTTCTCGGGTCCAATCCCGATTTTTTTTCTCAACGGGACGTTCAGGAAATTGAGGGACTTAGATCTCTCGCGGAATCGACTCACGGGAAGCATTCCCGCGGAAGCACTCAGCAGCCTTTCTGTTCTCAGGACTTTCGGTGTCGCGTATAACCGGCTGACTGGTAGCATTCCGACGGAGATTGGCAAGCTGACGGCGCTGACGTACCTGGGGATTCAGAATAACTGGTTGGAAGGGCCGCTGCCGTCAACTCTGACGGCGTGTACCGGTCTGGTGAGGCTGACGGCTGGTTTTAACCGTTTGGGGGGTCCCTTTCCCGTGGACACTCTCCTGCGACTCCCGAAGCTAGAAAGTCTTTCGCTCAAGCGTAACGGGTTCGTCGTTACTTCGCTAGCGCCTCTTGCGAACCACCGGAAGCTGAGAGACATCGACCTGAGCCATAACAAGGTTGCTCCGCGAATCCTCGCAACCCTCGCGCAGATGAAAAACATTCAAAGCCTGAGTCTGGCGAGAAACAGGCTGACAGGACCCGTTCCCGCGTTTCTTCTAGCGAACCAGCCGAAGCTGTTTAATCTCGACCTATCTTTCAACAGGCTTTCAGGGAGCTTTCCGTGGTCTTCGGTAGCAGGCGCGCCGCAATTATCGTGGCTGGACATACAAAACAACATACTTTCAGGCAGAATTCCTGAAAATCCGTTCCCAGATATTCACATGACGGCTCTGAACATTTCGAATAATTTCTTCGCAGGAGGGTTGCCCAATTTCGGTATGCCAGAAGGGGTGTTCAGTCTCGACGTGCGTAACAATTTCTTCTCGGGCAGACCGGAGATACGGGCGTGGGAGAAACGAGTTTGCCCGATCGAAGGGCAGACGAAGAAGCCTGGCGACAACGAAACGGTGTACCTCACTGTAGCTCGCAACTGCCTTTCGCAAGTCCCTGGTTGCAAGGTTACATCGCAACGCAGGCCTGCTTCTTGCGCGGCTTTCTGCGGTTCGAATGGGAAATCGGGGCCGTGTGGGGGGCATGGCACGTGTCGACCTACGCCAGTTGGTGGGAAGGTGCGCTGGCGATTTTCCTGCGAGTGCGACAAGGGTTACGCTTTGAAGCCGGGGAACGCGTTTGTGTGCGAGCGGACAGCAGCAGCGACGGCCAAAGTTTATAGCCGATGCGTTCAGGTGTGGAACTCCTAGGGTCCTAGGCGACATGGAGGACTCACGACTCACGAGAACGCAGGGTAGGAGACATGGAAAGATACATACGTCATTGACAAGCTTTTGAAACTCATTCTTGTATGCGCAGGCAGGAGCAGCTACTGCCAGGGTCTGAAACCTAGCGGACAACGAAGTGCTCAAGAGCAAGGGGTGAATTCTTGCCCTTGTTCGAGTATCATATATTTAGCCTTTGATATGGTACCTGTTCTGCCACGCTAGAAGAGTGACGTGGCTCCAGGTGCTGAGTGACAAAAAAACTGCATTCTTAGAGGGATAGGTTTCACATGTTGAACCTAATTGCCAGCAGAGGCAGCATCAGGGCATGTGCAACAGGCTGTATGATCTTGCAGCGTGTTTGTTGATTGTGTTAAGAACAAGATAGCCTAGGTTTAGGAGAAACCTAGGCTAGGGACGAGAGTAGCGAGGGTGTCGAGAGGGGAGAGGAAGTTGGCCAAGAAAAGAGGGGTTTGACTATGGAGAGAGTTACAAGAAATAGGGCAAGGGAAGGTGGCCAAGGGGGGTATACCACCAACAATGAAATAGTGTTAAGAACAAGATAGCCTAGGTTTAGGAGAAACGTAAGCTAGGGACGAGGGTAGCGAGGGTGTCGGGAGGGGAGAGGAAGTTGGCCAAGGAAAGGGCGTTTCACTATAGGGCAAATGGTACAAATAGGATAGGAAAGGGGTATACCACCAAGCAGGATGTTATGATAGCTACACTAACACTAGAACTACATGCAGTTATAAGAATGCAATTCCGACATCCCCCCTTAACTGCATGCAGGTATAGCGAAGTGCAAATCACAACCTGCAAGTGTACTCAAAGCAGTAGCACGCAAGAGCAATGACAACCAGTGCAGTGGTGGCAGAGACAGCTGCAGCAAGCCCTGAGGCAAGAAAGAGAGAAAGAAGACAAAAGTGCTGTGGCGCATCTAGTTTGCAGCTCAACAGCAAAGAAGACGAACGGAGAAAGGAGACAAAGTGCTGTGGCGCATCTAGTTTGCAGCTCAACAGCAAAGAAGACGAACGAGGCGTCAGGGGCTGCAGCTGTAGGTGCCACGGTAGCAGTGGGCGGCATCTGCAGATGCGTGGCTGCTGTGTCCACGCGGGAGGCGACCGGATACGACGGATACAAGGAGGAGGAGTAGCGAGAAGTGATGCAGCGGAAGAGAGAGGGAGAAGAACGAGAGAGAAATAAAGCAGATTACTCCCATCCCCCCTCAACTGCTCTCCCCCCCCCCCCCCTACAGCACCAAGTGCTGCAGGGAGAGAGGAAGAGGGAAGGGAGGGACGGCCTGCTGGTGATTCACACCCGCCACCCCACGTCTCCCCCTCCCCCCCTCCCCACGACGGAAGTCGCGGAAGGAAGGGCGGGTGGGGGGGGGGGCGACGGTAGCTGCTGCTGGCGCTATCGCTGGCGCCTGGCGCTGGCGTAGACGTTGGCGCTGGCGCTGGCGCTCGCGGCTAGCCGTGGCGCTGGCGCTCGTCGCTAGCGTCCGCGCAGGCGCCTGGCGAGGCGCTGGGCGGGCTGCGGGCGACGGGAACAGAGGGCCGCGGGCGACGGGAACGGGGGGCCGCGGGCGACGGGAACGGGGGGCCGCGGGCGACGGGAACGGGGGGGCCGCGGGCGACGGGAACGGGGGGCCGCGGGCGACGGGAACGGGGGGCCGCGGGCGACGGGAACGGGGGGCCGCGGGCGACGGGAACGGGGGGGCCGCGGGCGACGGGAACGGGGGGCCGCGGGCGACGGGAACGGGGGGCCGCGGGCGACGGGAACGGGGGGGCCGCGGGCGACGGGAACGGGGGGCCGCGGGCGACGGGAACGGGGGGCCGCGGGCGACGGGAACGGGGGGGCCGCGGGCGACGGGAACGGGGGGGCCGCGGGCGACGGGAACGGGCCGCGTGGCGAGGAAACGGCGCGGGGCGACGCGGGGGCCGCGGGTCGACGAGACAGAAAAAAAAAATGCGCATTTCGCGCTGAGACAAGGGCGGGCCCATGTTCCTTAGAAGAGATCGAGGTCCTTAGACCGGGACTAGCTCTGATAGCATGTTAGAATAAGGAGTAACTTAGGTTTAGGATGCCTAGGCTTAGAAGCCTAGGCAAGGAGGGTAAGGAGAAGATTGTCGAGAAAAGGAAGGGGTTTCACTATTGAGCAAAGGGTACAAATAGGAGAGACGCAAGGTATACCACCAACAGTTAAATGTAATGCTACACTAAGCTACAACTACATGCAGTTATAACAATATAACTTTGACAGCTGCTGGAGCTGGCGATGGCGCTGGCGCAGGCGCTGGCCGTTGCTCCGGCGCCTGGCGCCGACGTCCGCGCTGGCAGGGCACGTGCGGGGCGACGGGCAGAGCGCGCGCGGGGCAGGGCGTCCGCGGGGCAGCCGACGAGGCGCACGCGGGGCTGCGGACGGGACGCGCGCAGGGCGATGGGCAGAGCGTCCGCGGGGCAGCCGACGGGGCGTCCGCGAGGCAGCCGACGTGGCACGTTCGGGGGGACGGGCAGGGCGCGCGTGACGGGCGAACGGGGAAAAACCCAAAAATAGCGCATTTCGCGCTGTAGTACGGGCGGGCCCATGATTCTTAAAAATAAAATAGGTCCTAAGACCGTAGTGGCTATGATAGCATGTTAAGAACAAGATAGCCTAGGTTTAGGAGAAACCTAGGCTAGGGACGAGAGTAGCGAGGGTGTCGAGAGGGGAGAGGAAGTTGGCCAAGAAAAGAGGGGTTTGACTATGGAGAGAGTTACAAGAAATAGGGCAAGGGAAGGTGGCCAAGGGGGGTATACCACCAACAATGAAATAGATACTACACTAACTAAGCTAATATGCAGTTATACATAGAAATACAATTTCTGACAGATTGGCAGGTTTGCAAGTTAACTGACTACCTTCACTCGTGCTTTACACTAGGATAGAAACGGCAAAAAGTAACAAGGAGACTGACGTCTGCATGTAGCTTGGGGGCCTTGAGGGAAGGCGGCTTGGGTATTGGGATCCTGGGGGACAGTAGGGAATGTGACACAAGGGATGGAAATGTGACACAAGGGATGGGAGTGTGACACAAGGGATGGAAATGTGACACAAGAGAGAAAGGGAATGTGACACAAAGGAGTAAGGGAATCTGACAAACATGGGGAATGGGGTTTAAGGGCGGAAAACTAAGGGAGATTCGTCACTGGTACCCACGCGCGCTATGAATATTACGAGCGCCCTTGCGGCGCGCGTTTTGCTTGCGTGCGCTGCTATCCTGAGCGCGAAATGCTGGAGCGTGCTATGCTGGATCGGGCGGAATGTTAGGGCGCGTGCGAGGCTAGAGGTGAGTGCGTCACGGTTACTAGAAAGGCTGCTGCTTGCGCGCGATTTTTCTACACGTTTCGCCCTTTTGGCTATTTGAATTGATGAATTTGTACAGTGATGGAACACCATTTCGCCCAGACGAAAAAAAACCGGGGGGAGCGAGAGTGTTGGCGAAAACCAGATGAACTTGTGTTGTGAGGGAACCAGATTGGGGTTGGTTGTGAGTCACAGAATGGATAAAATGCCCTCGCCACCGAGCTCACCACTAACTCTCACACACCAAGTAAAATAAGCGCCAAATACCTACTCCAGAAAGAAACAACCACGGCGCGCGCTAGAAGGTGCTACGCCAGCAGCGCGACCAGACCACACACAAAGTGGCGCGTGAGTTCGGGACGAATTCAAATAGCCAAAAGGGCGAAACGTGTAGAAAAATCGCGCGCAAGCAGCAGCCTTTCTAGTAACCGTGACGCACTCACCTCTAGCCTCGCACGCGCCCTAACATTCCGCCCGATCCAGCATAGCACGCTCCAGCATTTCGCGCTCAGGATAGCAGCGCACGCAAGCAAAACGCGCGCCGCAAGGGCGCTCGTAATATTCATAGCGCGCGTGGGTACCAGTGACGAATCGTGTTCTCCGAGGGGACACACCGTCTTTGCGCATATAAGAAGAGGTGGGAGCTGCGTCACGTGCCCCCAAACGCATTCGTGCCGTCTCATACGCATTCCCCATTCCGCATTCCCCATTCCGCATTCCCCATTCCGCATTCCCCATTCCGCATTCCCCATTCCGCATTCCCCATTCCGCATTCCCCATTCCGCATTCCCCATTCCGCATTCCCCATTCCGCATTCCCCATTCCGCATTCCCCATTCCGCATTCCCCATTCCGCATTCCCCATTCCGCATTCCCCATTCCGCATTCCCCGTTCCGCTCTCCCCCTTCCGTAGGCCCCCTTTCGCGCCGCCCCTTCCGCGTTCCCCCTTCCGCGTTCCCATTTCCACATTCCCCCTTCCGCAACCCCCCTTTAGCGTTCCCCCTTCCGCCAACCCCCTTCCGCATTCCGCCGTCCGCCTTCCCCCTTCCGCGTTCCCCCTCTCGCGGTAACCCTTTCGCGTTCACCCTTCCGCATCCCCCCTTCCCCATCCCCCTTGCGCATCCCCCCTTCCGCATTCCCCCATCAGGCCCCATGTTTCCCCCCATCAGGCCCCATGCATCCCCCCATCAGGCCCCATGCTTCCCCCCATCAGGCCCCATGCTTCCCCCCATCAGGCCCCATGCTTCCCCCCATCAGGCCCCATGCTTCCAGACACGAGGCCCCATGTTTCCCCCCATCAGGCCCCATGCACCCCCCCATCAGGCCCCATACTTCCCCCCATCAGGCCCCATGCTCCCCCCCATCAGGCCCCATGCATCCCCCCATCAGGCCCCATGCTTCCAGACACGAGGCCCCATGCTTCCCCCCATCAGGCCCCATGTTTCCCCCCCATCAGGCCCCATGCTTCCCCCCATCAGGCCCCATGTTTCCCCCCCATCAGGCCCCATGCTCCCCTCCATCAGGCCCCATGCATCCCCCCATCAGGCCCCATGCTTCCCCCCATCAGGCCCCATGCTTCCCCCCATCAGGCCCCATGCTTCCAGACACGAGGCCCCATGCTTCCCCCCATCAGGCCCCATGTTTCCCCCCCATCAGGCCCCATGCTTCCCCCCATCAGGCCCCATGTTTCCCCCCCATCAGGCCCCATGCTCCCCCCCATCAGGCCCCATGCTTCCCCCCATCAGGCCCCATGCTTCCCCCCATCAGGCCCCATGCTTCCCCCCATCAGGCCCCATGCTTCCAGACACGAGGCCCCATGCTTCCCCCCATCAGGCCCCATGTTTCCCCCCCATCAGGCCCCATGCTCCCCCCCATCAGGCCCCATGTTTCCCCCCATCAGGCCCCATGCATCCCCCCATCAGGCCCCATGCTCCCCCCCATCAGGCCCCATGTTTCCCCATGCAGGCTGATGCTTCCTCCCCCTGCAGGCCCCCTGTTTCCCCTGAGCGCACACGTCCATAATCCCCCCATGCTAGCCCAATCATTTCCCAATGTTAGCCCCATGTTTCCCACGGCAGGCCCCACGTTGTACCCTTGTAGGCCCAATGTTTCCCCATGCCGGCCCCATGTTTCCCTCTGCAGGCCCCATGTTTCCCCCTGCAGGCCCCCTGTTTCCCCCAGCGTGCCCCCTGTTTCCTCCTGCAGGCCCCCTGTTCCCCCCATGTCAGACCCATTTCTCCCGCCTGATAGCCCCATATCCCCCCCGTGATAGCCCCATGTTTCCCCCATGCTAGCCTCATGTTTCCAAGGCTGGGTTATGAGTGCATCGCTGCTCACAGCAGCATGGAAAGTGCTCACCAGCAAAGGAACCACTCAGCCCGCATACTCTTACTCACCTTCGCTTGTCACATCCTCTTTTCCCACCCTACCCTTCCCTTCCAAGGTGTCAAGGTGAGTGCATCGCTGCGAACAACAACGTACGGAGTGCTCACCAGCAAGGGAACCACGTGCCTGACCACACTCTCCCCTGCCCTTCCAATGTTGGGTGGTGAGTGCATCGCTGCTCACAGCAACGTGAGGAGTGCTCACCAGCAAAGGGACCTCCCTTCTAGAACACTCTTACTCGCCTTCGCCACTCACATCCTCTTTTCTCTCCCTCCCCTTCCCTTCCAAGGCGCCGTGGTGACGGCATCGGGCGAACAGCAGTGTGTGGAGTGCACGCCAGCAAAGGAACCACCCTGTCACCACACTGCATTGCTCTCCTCTGCTGCACACCACGCCAGGCATGCAATTGCAGCAAGTTGGACGTGCGGCAGCTCCCAGCATAGTTGACAGGTTCGGTTTGTGCCAAATGCGTGGCAGCCCTACTGTGTATGACTTTTGAACATTGAAGGCCTTCAAGCCATAAACACTTTGCAACGTTGTACAAATGGAGTACTTACAACAGTATTGACTAAATACATAGCCCTAATCACACAACCCTGGGTTCCACCATACCGACCACGTTGCTAGTCATATGCCCGTGCTCGATTTTTATCCCCCTTCACCCTGTCGCTGCTCTTTTTGCTCATCTTCAAAACCAAATCCTGAAACCTAGCGTCAATCGTTGTCGACACCCACGTCATTGCGAGAACATCATTGATTTCTGGCAGGGAACATAAGAAAGGAGTGGGGAACTTAGTGTAGGGAGTAGGCAAAACAAAGCAGCGGTGCGTGCAGTGATTGGAAGTCATCCCTGCAGGGGTGGATGAGAGGACAGGTAGGGAAGTGGGGGGGACCTAATGTGTTGATCCATCGATGGATTGCGAGCGCAAAAGGAAGGGTAGGGTATGGCAGGGTATGGCGCGGGATGGATGGGTATGGCAGGCGATGGATGGGTATGGCGCGGGATGGATGGGTATGGCTGGAGTATGGAATGGTATGGTACAGTTCTGCTAAACAGGGAATTGTAGGGCAGGGTATGGCAAGGAGCGGCAAGGTATGGCAGGGGAGGGGTGAGTTTGGCTGGCCTATGTATGGGACGGGAGGGACGGGAGGCAAGGGAGGGAGGGAGGGAAAGGGAGGGAAGGGGAGAAGGGAGGGACGGGAGGGAAGGGAGGGAAGGGAGGGAGGGAAGGGAGGGACGGGAGGGAAGGGAGGGAGGGACGGGAGGGAAGGGAGGGACGGGAGGGAAGGGAGGGAAGGGAGGGACGGGAGGGAAGGGAGAGAAGGGAGGGACGGGAGGGAAGGGAGAGAAGGGAGGGACGGGAGGGAAGGGAGAGAAGGGAGGGAGGGAGGGAGGGAGGGAAGGGAGGGAAGGGAGGGACGGGAGGGACGGGAGGGAAGGGAGGTATGGGAGGGACGGGAGGGACGAATAGTCGGCCGCCCGGAAGGGATCAGGGAGGCGGGACGGCATGTCTGGCGGGCGGAAAAATGGGAATCGGGCGGCGGGAAGCGCAGCGGGCGGCGGGAAGGGGGAAGCGGGCCGCGGGGAACGGGAATCGGGACGGGGGAACTGGAATTTGGCGGCGCGAAAGGAGAAGCGGGCGGCGCGAAAGGGGAATCGGGCGGCGGGAGCGGGGATAAGGCGGCGGGAAATTGGAATTTGGCGGAGCGCAAGGGGAATCGAGCGGCGGGAAGGGGCGGTCGGGCGGCCCGCCCGGAATCCATGGGCGGGAAAGGGGATTCAGGTGGCGTGGAGGAAGGGGATTTCGGAGGCTGGATAGGGGAACGGCGGGCGGCGGGAATGTGGTTCGGGCGATGCGAAGGGGAGTAGGGCGACGGGAAAGGGAACCCGCCGGAAGGAAGAAGTGGTGGGAGCAGGGAGTCGAGCGGAGGGAAGGGGAATCGCCGGACAGCGTGACTGGGGTTTCGTGGCGGTGGAAATGGGGGAAACCGGGCGGGGAGGGGGAGTTGCATCAGGCGACGCGAATGGGAATCGGGCGTCGCACAAGGGGAATCGCGCCGCAGATAAGGGCTATGGCGAACCCTAAGCTCCGTGTATTTGGCGCCGGAAAATAATCAATGGCTCTGTAGGTGTTTGACCTACGCGTGAGGCGCGCTATAATGACATTGGATTGCAGTGTTTTTGGAATTTACCTATGTAGTGATGACTTAGAGCGCTCTGGGGGTGGGGATAGTGGTGAGGAGGCATGTCCTTCAGTATACTTTTGGCTAGCCATAAACTTTTGACGAGTGAGTCAGGTGAGAGGGGATGGTGTTGAACTTGTCGCTGTGTCCGAAGTCGAGAGACCCTGTAATTTGGTTACCACCTTGTACCTTTTATAAAGTTTTGGCCTTCCCACTGCCAAATGTATACCGCTGCTTTAATGGTGGTGCTGCTGCTGCTGCTGCTGCTGATGCTGCTGCTGCTGGTGCCATGAGACTCCCTTGACTCGTGTTGACTCGCTTGACTCATGCTGACTCCCTTGGCTTGACTCCCTTGACTCGTGCTGACTCCCCTGACTCGTGCTGACTCCCTTGACTCGTGCTACACTAGAGGCGAAAGGTAACAGTACAGATTACAAGTGCTTGACTCCCTTGACTTGACTCCCTTGACTCGTGCTGACTCCCTTGACTCGTGCTGACTCCTTTGACTCGTGCTACACTAGAGGGGAAAAGGTAACGGTAGAGACTCAACTGCTTGTAACATGGGGACGTTTCGTTTTGAACCAACTCGAAACAAGACTCGTGCTAAACTATGATAGAAACGGTAATAGTAAACGTAAAAATCACAAGTGCCTGTAACACGGGGGCGTTGCGGGATGATGGCTTCGGTATGGGTTTTATGGGGGAAGGAGGAGGGGAGGAGGAGGAGGAGGAGGAGGAGGAGGGAAGGGTGGGAAGGATATGCTCTCAGACCTGCACTGTACAGGAGAGGGAGCGAGAGAGAGACGGGAGGGAAGTGGGGAACTGGACTTGTAGCAAAGGAAGCAAAAGGAGGAGAAAAGGGTGGGAAGGATATGCTCTCGAACCTGCACTGCACAGCAGAGGGAGCGAGAGGGAGACGGGAGGGATGGGGAAAATTAGAGTAGCAACGCTGGGATCAGGGAGTAGTAGTAGGAAGGAGCAGGAGGAGAGAGAAGCAGAAAGGACAGAGGGAAGGATATGCTCTCGAACCTGCACTGCACAGCAGAGGGAGCGAGTGGGGGAGACGAGAGGGATGGGTAAATCTGGGTGTGTACCAATGGGAGGGGGCACCAAAATGAACAGGGGGTGGGAAGGCTGGGAATGGAAGGGTGGGGAGGGTGGGAAGGGTAGGAAGGGTGGGAAGGGTGGGAAGGGTGGGAAGGGTGGGAAGGGTGGGAAGGGTGGGAAGGATGGGAAGGGTGGGAAGGATGGGAAGGGTGGGAAGGGTGGGAAGGGGGGGAGGGTGGGAAGGGTGGGAAGGGGGAGGGTGGGGAGGGTGGGGAGGGTGGGAAGGGTGGGAAGGGTGGGGAGGGTGGGAGGGTGGGAAGGGTGGGGAGGGTGGGAAGGGTGGGGAGGAGATGCTTTCGGATCTGCACAGCTTGGCCTCCCGAGCTCGCTGTGCGTCGCACACACTCACTGTCATTGTGCAGCCACGGCATTGGCGAGATTGAGAATTCCCAAAAGTGCATTTGAGGCGCCTCAAAGGTAACACCTCATTATTGACTCACCTGTTCGAGGTGGTGCCAGGTTCAGCAAGAAAATACGTACACTGCTCACTGTGCGTCTGCGCGTCTCACACGCTCACCCGCATTGCGTGGCCACGGCGTTGGTGAGGTTGAGAATTCTCAAAAGTACCAACTGATTACTGACTCAACTCAGAAGTCAAAATTCACCTTTTCAGTCAACTCAAGAGTCACCTTTTGAGTCAAGACAGAAGTCACCTCGCATTGCACGGCCACGGGCCACGGCGTTGGTTCTGTGGGTGCCTCGAAACAGGTGAGAGTTCTCAACGCATTATTGACTCACCTGTTTCGAGGCACCTTAAACGAAACTCGTTATTCACTCACCTGTCTTGAGACCACCTCAAACAAAGCTCGTTATCGACTCACTGGCATTGCGCTGCCATGGCACTAATGAGCTGGCGGTCGGAGGGCGTCGGGGTGAGTGCGGTGGGGAGGCCAGCGCAAGGGAAGGGGTGCCAGGCAGCATACACACGAGCAGAGGTAGAGAGACCGACTCACTGGCATTGCACTGCCATGGCATTCATGAGCCGGCGGTCGGAGGGCGTCGGGGGTGAGTGCGTGGGAGAGGCCAGCGCAAGGGAAGGGGTGCCAGGCAGCATACACACGAGCAGAGGTAGAGATACCAACTCACTGGCATTGCACTGCCATGGCTTTAATGAGCTGGCGGTCGGAGGGCGTCGGGGTGAGTGCGGCCCATCCTTGCACCTGGGGAGTGAGAAGAGGCGTGGATGAATGGCGAGTGGATAGAAGGGGATTGGATAGAAGGGAGGTGGACGGAAGCAGAGAGGACGGAAGAGACGCCAAGAAGGGTATACTAATGTGTTTTTCAAATCAACAAAAAAATCACCTAAAAAATTACCTCCTGCTCCTATTGTCGGTGAGTTGATATGCTGCTGCATGGATGCATGCGTGTGAGCATGGGTGAATGTATGTGTATGCATATGCGTGTGCATATGTGTGCATATGCTAGTGACTCTGCTTGCGTGCGTGTGTGCGTGCGTGCTTGCATAAGTGCATGCATGCATGTGTGCACGTGCGTGTGTGCACGTGCGTGCATGCTTGCATACGTGCATGCATGCGTGTGTGCACGTGCGTGTGTGCTTGCATCCATTCTTGTGTGCATATGTGACTGTGGGGAGGGGAGGGGGATGGAGGAGAGGAGGGGGTGTGGGGGGAGGGGGGTGCATGTGTGCATTTGTGTGTACGTGCGCACGTGTGTGTGTATGTGCACGTGAGCTTGATCGTGTGCACGTGCGGGTACGTGCACGTGTGTGTGTATGTGCACGTGAGTTTGATCGTGTGCACGTGTGTGTGTATGTGCACGTGAGTTTGATTGTGTGCACGTGCGGGTATGTGCATGTGTGTGTGTATGTGCACGTGAGTTTGATCGTGTGCACGTGCGGGTATGTGCATGTGTGTGTGTATGTGCACGTGAGTTTGATCGTGTGCACGTGCGGGTATGTGCACGTGTGTGGGTATGTGCACGTGTGTGAGTATGTGCACGTGTGTGAGTATGTGCACGTGTGTGAGTATGTGCACGTGTGTGGGTATGTGCACGTGTGTGGGTATGTGCACGTGTGTGGGTATGTGCACGTGTGTGGGTATGTGCACGTGTGTGTTTATGTGCACGTGTGTGGGTATGTGCACGTGTGTGGGTATGTGCACGTGTGTGGGTATGTGCACGTGTGTGTGTTTATCGTG